ATTTGCGCGAAATATTTCCCAGATCATCTGAAAATCGAGCAGTTTAGGCACTCCTTTAAGAGAGCCATTAGCTGCTGGATACCGCAATGTAAGCCATATTCGAACTTCTTGTTGAACATGAAGGACGAATAAATATGCATGGCTTGTCCATCACTCCTAGAGGCTTTTTGGATCAATGCCAAAAACCCTACAATGAATAGCAGGGACGAATGCCCGAAGGTCATACGCGACCTGATCCCGTACGTTCGCATCGATTTTTGATGTGGGATGGTGCAGTCGTCAACCACATGCGACTATAATCAGCTGTTCTAAACTTCCTCATTGGAAGTCACGAAAAAGCGGTGGGTTTTTTCGAGAAGTTGTTGATCACGTAATTACCAAAGAGTCTTTCTTCTTTTTGTAAGTGTTATTGAAGCGTTTGGCCTAGTAGATTGTATATCAGCATACCCTTCCAGGCTCTGAAGAAGGCGATACTGCCGAAACGTCAGCTAGCGTTGTATTGTATTGTGTTTTTATGGAAGTAAATGTATGCTGTTTAAAAACCTCGCGATTGCTGAACAAGAAAACGACACATTCATATTCCAATACCGAGGTTAAGAGAAAGTCGATCTTGGGAACTATAGTAAACAGTGTTGTAAGAAATTCAACATTCTGGAAAATTCCAGAATACCTATAGTTATGTCATGGTGAAAGACGCAAATATGACTTCGCATAACATGTAATACCCTGTATTGTTGATACAAACTTTTTAAAAGGATAAAGGATAAAGCTCTCGGCGTTGATCAATGTCTGAGAGATGCGGCATACATTCCGCTTCATTTAAGTGTCGTTGGAGGTGATTTAATGCATATATGCCACTTACAAAGACTCGTAGTAGCCTACCGATGTATAGAGCTAGTGCTGCTATCCTCCGAGACAACTTCAGTAGCAATTTACCAACCTCGGAGGGATGTAAGTCTTGGTGAGATGGGGTGCTGGGTTCGATCCCATGTTTATTGCGAGGCGCCTCCGATCACTGCGCTACGTGTGCCCGTGTTGCGCAGTATTACATGCATTTCTATGACATATGCCTTTCTTTTTGAGTAAAAGAAGGCATCTTCGTAATGAGAATTGGTATAAGAGTGGAAGACAGGTGGCGTTTTCTCGTACAGAAAAGTGGAAGGATAAAAACGACATTGATGTGATAACCAACACGTTCCTTTGACGCGTTCTCGTTCGCAATCGCATCTAAATTGCAAAGTGTCTACTAGTAGACGCAATAGGAACTGCCTTCATGAGTCGGAAGAACTACACTACGAAATGAATGTCTTCTTAGTACGATGTTTAAAACACCAATAACAGACGGTGATTATAACAACTGTAACGTCCTACCAGGCCTTTTTGCACCTCGTTAATATATTTGAAATCGAAGGCTCCTCAATACCCTCCAGAAAAAGTTGGGTACCACATGTTGATATCAAAATAAAAACGATACAAAACCAACTAACTATGCTTCGCTGATTGATCCTATCCGAATGCTTTAATATAGATGTCCTCTCAGAAACGGCATCATCCACCAATCGTACGTTTTTAAATAACTCTTCCATGCGTTTTTTCTCGGAATCTCCTCCTACCGTACTCAGAATATCGCGCACCGAATCATAGGCGGTCCGACAAATTATCAGCTCTCTTCCTATGGAAACAAAATACAGGAAGAAAATTAAATTTGGTCTAAATTAACTAGATATAGCAAAACAAACCTTCAATTTGACTCAATAATTGTGTTCTAGCTGGGTTTCTCTTCTCCATTTCAGCTTGTTGGGTGAGTAGCGTACTGTCGAACCTACAATATACGCAAATTCTTCCAACAAAGGCTTCAAAACCCTTTAAATCCTTTCCTGTGAAGAAAACTATGCAATCCTCTAGCTGAAGTGATTATGGTATTTTGGAAGTGAACACTAGTCAACGTTAGAACACTTTTCTCATCGATACAACTATAGAATATTGCCAGGAAATTTGTCACCGTACATGTGATCCGTGCCATGTTCATGTGTGAGGTTCGAAATTAAGACAAATACAGCTGACACATCCAAGTTAACAGGAGGAAGTTGCGGTGACTTCACAGTGCTAGCAGGCATATGTCCACCATCCCCGTCGTTCTCCATTAGCAACTCCATAAAGTCTTCTGGTATTTTTGCAATTGTCCCAATCGCAATCTGCATTTCAAAGAGACGTTTCAGCAAAGTGACCTGCATTAAAATGAAACATCCTCAAAAAGATTAAAACTGACTCAAAAGACCGCGTTGTATACGCCTCGGCATAAATAATCGACGTATTTATTTGTATGTCATTATGAACTGAATTGTTGAGCTGATGCAAACTTGGTATAAGTGGACGTTGTCGTGCTATTGGTCGATGACTGACGTTTCGGCGAATTCGCCTTCCTCAGAGCCGTGCTGTGACGAGTGGAACTCGTGTCGTCTCGTTTCAAACGTCAGCCATCGACCAACAACAAACAACAACAATAACAACTTACACCAACCTCGCATCAGCTCAGCAAGATCAACTTATAAGAACATGTAAATAAATATTAAGATGGCTGCCTAACTGAGTCATACCAATAGGTGGCTCGGTGTTTTTCCATACAAATCATATACAACACCTACAAAAGGTTTTTATAATGGTAATTTAGAGCTGCACCTCTTCGCCAATAACAATCACTCCACGTGATCGCAACTTGGCTGCTATGGCATCTGGCACACCTCCGACAAATTCGAAAACCACTTCCGGAGGAGAAAAATTTCGTTGAAAAAGTCCAGCCATCTGAAAGGATACTCAACTAGACCTGAATGATGAACAGCCCAAAAACGCTCTATAGATTCCTAGAAATTTATAAAGGTTGAAGAATAATTATCACAAAACACATATTGAATCTACAACTACGAATAAATAAGCACCAAAAACGCAAAATCTCCAACAAAAAAATTCCTTTCTCAAATACAATAGGTGAACAACTCTTACATGAAGGTATGTATCTGCTTGTTCGAAGATGTTTCGAGAACTACCAGTTAGCCAATCCATACAAATTCCCTTCGCTGAGCGGGAAATTACTTTCACCTAAAAATAGTGCCAAAAATATCCACATAATTCAAGCCGATCTCTACCATGATCACCAAGATTTATTCTAATGTACTGTTATATACTGGTACTCAGGAAATGGGCGAACGTGGCCCAGTGGTCCCAGACACTCTGCAATATACGTGGAATTGATTCCCGCGCTCCTAGCACACAAAGCCTTCTATTTCACTCCGGAGTCGGCAAATTGGTACCAAACTTGTCTGGGAGGATAGCTGCACTGGCTCGATAAGTCGATAGGCTATCGCGAGTCATTGTAAAGACCAGATATGCATTCAATCACCTCCAAACGATGCTAAATGAAATAGAATGCATGGTGCACCCTCAGAGATTGATCAACAGAGATTGATCAACGCCGACAGCTTTCTCCTTCTACTCAGGAAATTATTTAACAGCTTAAAAGTGTGATACACAGAAATCTGCGGAATCTTCGCTGATGACCTGCGCTGAAAGATCTAGCACTGAAACCTGCGTAGAATTCTTGTATTGTTTAAGTCCAACCTTCACACTACCACGTGACTTATTTATAATAAACTTTTCCGCTAACCACTTATGTGAAACGTACCCATTGATCTCCTTTTTTGGCAACAATGTCGACAGTATGTTTGAGCACCCTGAAAGAAACGGCGCTAAAACCGAACTCATTTGTGGTCAGAATTCCGAATTCTTGAAATTTCACAAACAACTAATCTCCCTGAGCATAACAAAATACAATTAACCTCTACACACAGTCTTAAGCAAAAAATATCTGAAAAGTATAACCTACGAATCCGTAACTGGATCAAGGATGGAAAACGTGTGGAAAACAGCTTGAATGTCTAGGAATCGTTCCAAACCGGAGATAATATTCTCGAAATGAGTAACATTGCTTGTCTCTATATATTTCTTCTCTAAGCGTGTTTTACCGGATGCGATCTAAAGAAATGCAAAATGATGCAAGAAACACCACTTAAACAACCTAATGCGTGACTTGTTGAAATTCTCCTACATGAATAAAAATCAAAATGAAAGCACAGGAACGAAACAAGACCACGGTGACAATAACTGGTGCCATTGTCTTATCGTTAGACTTCGATAACGGTGTACATGCTATGCTTCCCACAAAAACTAACTTGGATACTTGGATAGCCCATCCTCACTGGTTATGCTGGCCCCAGCATGATTCCCATTTTTACGGAGTTTCGCTGACTTCCTCCCAATGGTTTACCGTCTCATCGTTTCTAAGATGTGTTCTTGGTTGTCGGCCTACAATATACAGCCGGAGGATTTATACCCGGCAGAGCCTCCCAAGCTGAGGAGTCCGGCGCTTCCATCAAGAGGCCCAGCTAAGAGTAAATCAATACCAGGATTCACTACAGCCCTGGTACCAAACTAGTCGCATGGTGGCAAATCTCCCTCTGATCCACAAAGGAGATGATTGCTTGTGGTGATGTGAGCTTGTTCAGACTTTCGTCAGGCTGACTTCGGGACTCCAGGTAAACACAATGGATAAACCAGCAAAACTCCGAAAAATGGAGAATATGCCAGAACTCGCAAAACCAGTGATGATGGGTCGTCCAAGCATCCAAGTAACTTTACTTGCCTAGCCATTGTGGTTCGTTCGAGTTCCGAGGTCAACCAGATCAAAGTGGATCCTGAAATTGGCTTACTCTTAGCTGGACCTTAATAGTAACGCTGGACTCTTCCTCAGCTTAAGATGCTCTTTCGTTGGATAAATTCCCCCTGCTGTAGATCGTCGCAACCCGACAACGACGAAGACCTTCCCGCCACGATGAGGCGGTAAATGGCTGGGAGGTCCAAAACTAGAAAGAAAGAAAACGAGAAAAAAAAAGACGGCAAGATTCGCAAACCTGACCCCTTCCAGGAATTTCAGTTCACTGGCAAGTCGATTTCGTAACTTGCTAACGCCCTGAACTGATGAGTAGTGAGGATCACAAAGCTGTAGCTCTAATTTTCGAGCAGCATCCAACCGTCCAGCTAACAAGTACGCCAAGTCCTCGTCAGCTGACATTCACTTGTTCAGGATATTGTCTATTTAGCAAAAAGAGATAACTGGAACCACTCAAGGCTTCTTTGCGACCTCCTGCTCTAAAGTAGTGTTTAACTTATCATTTTCACTTCTCAAACCCAGAAACTTCTTCATTCCTAATTCTTAATCTTCTTCAGGTAAGCAAAAATAGATCTAAAACTACTGAAATACTTTTCATCATCTACGTCTAGTCATGCAACTGAAATGCCCCATCGTGGTTAAATGCAGCCGCATTATTCAGACGAAACCAAAAAATTGCGGAATGTTGGAAGCTCCTACTTAAGTGAAACTAGACCAAAACGACCTCATACCCTCCTCCTAATGTTCTCTCGACCATAGCAATGTATATGAAAGAACATCTATCTTTCTTTAAAATACAAACCAACAATTTCATTATTCAGATAGTACTTTACTACATTCAACATCAGTACTGAAGATGTACACTAAACATCAATTCAAAGACACATTGAAAGAAGTAGATACATCAGATCATGGTACTCTCGTAAACACGTGGGAACCTACCAGCAAGGGAAATGCAACCCAATATGGGAAAGAAGCGATGAAGTAAAGGAAATAAAGTAGGAAATGACAAAGTTTTTAAACACAATGATTATACAAAGAACCACATACGGTAACCTTACGTCCGATAACACTTACTTTCTCGAATGTCTCGCACTATAACGTGAAACCACTTTTCCACAAAATTAAGTGAAATAAACGAGATACAATGTGAGCAATAGCAGAAGAAAGAAAACATTGGTCAGGAAACTCGCCAACCACTTAGTAAGAAGAACAGTTCCTAACAGTGTTAGATAGGTGGCATCAACCTCATTCGAAGCACATAGCCAATGTAGCTAGCAAATGTCGTTACCTAGAATCTAAACGGTAGTGGTCGTAATCTTGCCACTACTCGTTCAACACATTTCGGGCATGCGAATGAACGCATGGTGACTGAGTGCAACATGTCCGTCTCATATACAAAGTCAGTAACCGGTACACCAACTACACACAACGACAGCAACGAAGATGCCGTCCACTAAACCAATATACAGCTTAATCTGTCGGTAACACTTGGTACTGTTGTTAAAGTTGTATAAACTCAGCAAATCAGTATGAAGGCAAAGAGGCAAAGTACCTACTTACTGGATATTTGGATGGCCTGTCATCACTGGTTGTGCGGGCACCAGCAATAATTACTATCTTTTCGGAGTTTTGCTAGTTTAGCCATTGTGGTTCCCCCAGGTGACCCAATGTAAGCCTAGGAAAGGTGTGTCTCACGTTGTCACCACCGCAGGAAGTCGCCGCCTTGTGGATCAGAAGCGAGATTTGCGACCATGCGACCAGTTTGATACCAGGACGGCGGTGAATCCTAGTATTGGTTTATCCTCAGCTGGGCTTCCTGATGGATCGCATCGGCCAGACCCAGTTTGGAAACCTTGTTGGGGAAGATGCCTCCCCCTCCTGCACACTGTGGAACTCCTCCGAGCCACGATGAGGCGGTAAGGCGGTAAACCGTTGAGAGGATGAAGGCAAAGTATGATCATAAAAATCAATTTTACCCTGACACCAAGATAGTGGTAAAAGCAGTTGGTTATTTGTCCCCTAACTCTTCACCCCAAAATAAAACAATTCAACACTGTTACAAGAAAACACGAAAATAAAACCCATACAACCGGAATTTTTGAGGAAAAATACTAGCACATTACTTACCAGTCGACAGCAAGAACATTTCATACATAAGCTATCTCCGATCATTTTCAAATCCCATGGAAGAATTCCTTCTCGCATCCTAAAGAACAACTAGAACGAGTGGAATGATAAGAGCCTTGTGAAGCTGATCATCAGTTAATGAGCACAGAGAAGCGAACAAAATTGAAGTAAGAAAGTCGTTTAACAACCTTTTATTGTTAGCCGTCTAAAGCAATGAGAAAAGAATCGGGATGCAACTGTACGAAGCACGGAACCGGCTTCTTCCTCTGACTAGGATTATGACTCAGTGAGTCTCGTCATCGCGTGGATGTGGTCATGGTATGATAACTTGTGAAAAACAGTCAAATCTCATTGAAAGTTATTTAATCGTATTAAGATCGGATGATTATTCTGTAGTGGTTGCCTCACGTTTTCAAATCAAGACAACCGAAAAAAAACACTCAGAAGCCGATCCTCACTTTTATTGAGGTCGCCAATCAACATATAGGCGAAAGCGTTCGGAGTTGATCAATCCCTTAAGAATGCGCCTCGCTCCATACTAGTAAGCACAGAAGAGGTGTTTGAATGCATACTTGCCTTATAAAATGACTTGCGGAGCCCATCAATATCGATTCAGTGTTTCATCCTTCCAGATAAAACTGGTGCAGACCGACAAAGAATGGAATCGTTGGTTAATTCACAGCACGAGATCGAACCAAAGTTCACGTTTGCATGGCAAAGTACCTCTAACCACTGCCGTAACCCTCTCTCTACCACCCTTTTTTGGTCTGTTATAACACAGAATCTCATATATCCTTTCAAAAGAGTCTATTAAAACATGAAAATTATGCGCCGCAACTTAGCGGCAAAAAATCTAGTGTACAGAAAATCTCATTAAAGGATGCCAGTTGTGCAGATTTTGTGATGAACTCATTCATAGCCCACCACGCATTTCAGATTCTGTTACCTTACCAGACTCTGATCCCTAACTAAATTTCCCATCAAGATGAAACCCAGGTGACTCATTTCTACTAAAAAAAAACCTCTATAACTAATTAGGTTGAATTTGAAGCGCTCCATGAGCACCTATTCAAAGTGGAAATAAAATACCCGAAATTTTTTGTCGAGCGTTGCAACTTGGAATGCCCCCTACGAACGGAGTTTAACGAACTTCTCCACTGACTTCAAGATAATAGAGCAAATAGGATATTTGTACCCAGATTTTTCGAAGAAATCGCCAACAAAGTGACCACTCCATGATAAAGATGCACACTACACTCTCAAAGCAACTGCTATATGTCATGCTTTAAACAAAATAGATTTCAGAACTTCAATAACTCCCATGAAATTTAGCCAAAGCACTCACGAATAGCCACGCAATGATGCAAATGCCATGGAAGACAGAGAAGGAACCTCTGGTGTAGTGATGATAGGAGAGCTGTAAAAAGAAAAAATACACTTTCACGAAGTAAAAACAAAATGAGGCTTCAAGAATTAAAACATTACGGAGAAACCATTGGATTACTGCCAAAATACAGCTTTTCCATGCATCTGTTCCTTAGGTCATATGGTAGGCAAGGAAGTTGATTGTGATCAAGAAATAAGCATCGCAATGCCATATCTGACATCTGAAAGATGATTCTTCCAAGTGCGTGCAGATATTACGAGCGGGAAGAATAGTAATCGCAAGCATAAAAAATAAATTTCTCGGCGTTGATCAAACCCTGACGGATGCGTCATGCATGCATCCGACTTCATTAAGCATCGCTGAAGGTGACCGAATGCATATCTGGCCTTTAGAATAACTTGCGGGGGACCAACGATCTATCGAGTAAGTGCTGATATGCTCCCAGACAAGTCTATTAGCAATTTCCCAATCCCGAACGGATGAAAGGCTTGGTGGGCCATGGACGGGGGGATCGATCCCGAGTGTATAGCAGGGCGTCTCCGACCACTGAGTCACACGAGGCCCTAATCATAAGCATAGTGTTCGCTCTTGTTTTCCTTTTTGTTAACATATCATTGAGATAGTATACAATCTCGCAACGAAAAAATTACTTGGAGTACACTGTATCACAACTCCTACGAGAATTTCTTTTATTTTATATGATCCACTTCTCACATTTATTGTGCGGATGCCAACATTTTTTACATTCAATTCCTATTCTCGCGCCTACCGTCCACAACGACCTTTCAACTTTTGTGCGTTAGTTCGGTTGCTGCTTGACAATTTCTCCTTCGTCATGAATGTCGCTGAATGCTGGTCTAGCCGATTGCCTCTGGAGTCCTCAGACTCCTGATTAAAATGTTTCCACTTAGATTGGAGACAGTGAGCTGATGCCAACCAAGTCTGATACAAATTTTCTGACTTTGGATAGATGAGGAGTTCGGTGAACCCAGTGGTCGCTGCCACCTGCATCGCGCTCGTGATGATCGCCACCACTAGCACTGCGCTACCCGCCCCTTCCCACAATGCACGTAAAGTCTTAAACCTGGGATAACTTACATCTCTAGGCAAGCTAGTCAGTAGATTGTAGCTCAACACGAGTGTGTGAAGATTTTTGGCATTAACTAGCGACTGTGGCAATGTCACAAGACGATTTTGAGAAAGGTTCAAAAAATGTAACGATGGCGGAAGTGAATCAAAGAAGTATGCCTAAAAGCAAAATTGACAGGACAGTAATAGAAACTACATTATTACTCACTCACCGGAATAGTTTCAATCTCGTTTCCTTGCAATAACAAAATACCCAGGTTCTTAAGACGCGATACCAGTTTGATCTTCACGAAATTAGAGGCTTTACCAAGAGAATTATACGATAAATCCAAACGGGAAAGCATCGACAAAGAAAACCAACGACTATCAATGAACTCAATGCCTAATAAATACATAAGTTAGAAATTCAAGGAAAAGAAGTATAATGATAAAGCACGAAAACAATGAACCCAGTGCGACCACTTCCAGCGTTTCCAGCGATGGTGGATAGGTAATGGACCTCAGGTTCCTGTTTGTCACTCGCAACAGTTTTGGAGCTGCTTTAAAGTCCGACTGTTTGACCTAAATTAAATTTTGAGCAACAACTACTCAAATTCTTGACGTAAGCCTACCTTATCCAAAGCGCTGATAGCAATTTCATCCCCTTTAAGGGCGGCTAAAAAGTTATCCAGAAACTGTTGAAGACGAGAGGGATTGCACTAGAAAAGAACGATCCACACAAAGCAAAGAATATTTAGCAAGAACTGCCTTCCTAAATCAAATGTCATTCTAGATCCTAAGTAATCGCTTTCTTTAA